GTGTATTGTGTTAGTTACTACACTGTGTTGTTGGTGAGTGTTTGCGTTAGTTACTACACTACCTGTGTTGTTGGCGAGTGTACTGTGTTAGTTACTATACCACCTGTGTTGTTGGTGAGTGTATTGTGTTAGTTACTACACTACCTGTGTTGTTGGTGAGTGTTTGTGTTAGTTATACACTACCTGTGTTGTTGGTGAGTGTTTGTGTTAGTTACTTACACTACTTGTGTTGTTGGTGAGTGTTGTGTAGTTACTCACACTGTGTTGTTGGTGAGTTGAGTTTATTACACTTCCTGTGTTGTTGTGAGTTGGTCATTGTGTTGTGGTGACTACACTTCCTGTGTTGTTGAGTGTTGTGTGTGGTGACTACACTCCTGTGTTGTTGAGTGTATGTGTGGTGTATTACACTTCCTGTGTTGTTGTTGGTGTAGTGTTGTGGTGTATTACACTTCCTGTGTTGTTGTGAGTGTTGTGTAGTTACTACACTTCCTGTGTTGTTGTTGAGTGCAGTGTGCTGGTGACTACACTTCCTGTGTTGTTGAGTGTAGTGTGCTGGTGACTACACTTCCTGTGTTGTTGAGTGTAGTGTGCTGGTGACTACACTACCTGTGTTGAGTGTAGTTTGCTGGTGACTACACTACCTGTGTTGTTGAGTGTAGTGTGCTGGTGACTACACTACCTGTGTTGATGTTGAGTGTAGTGTGCTGGTGACTACACTACCTGTGTTGTTGAGTGTAGTGTGCTGGTGACTACACTACCTGTGTTGTTGTTGAGTGTAGTGTGCTGGTGACTACACTACCTGTGTTGTTGTTGAGTGTAGTGTGCTGGTGACTACACTTCCTGTGTTGTTGTTGAGTGTTGTCTGGTTACTACACTACCTGTGTTGTTGAGTGTAGTGTGCTGGTGACTACACTACCTGTGTTGTTGAGTGTAGTGTGCTGGTGACTACACTACCTGTGTTGTTGAGTGTAGTGTGCTGGTGACTACACTACCTGTGTTGTTGAGTGTAGTGTGCTGGTGACTACACTACCTGTGTTGATGTTGAGTGTAGTGTGCTGGTGACTACACTACCTGTGTTGTTGAGTGTAGTGTGCTGGTGACTACACTACCTGTGTTGATGTTGAGTGTAGTCTGGTGGCTACACTACCTGTGTTGTTGAGTGTAGTGTGCTGGTGACTACACTACCTGTGTTGTTGAGTGTAGTGTGCTGGTGACTACACTACCTGTGTTGATGTTAGTGTTGGTCTACACACTGTGTGTTGAGTAGTGTGCTGGTGACTACACTACCTGTGTTGAGTGTAGTGTGCTGGTGACTACACTACCTGTGTTGTTGTTGAGTGTAGTGTGCTGGTGACTACACTACCTGTGTTGAGTGTAGTGTGCTGGTGACTACACTACCTGTGTTGTTGTTGAGTGTAGTGTGCTGGTGACTACACTACCTGTGTTGTTGTTGAGTGTAGTCGTGTGGTGACTACACTACCTGTGTTGTTGAGTGTAGTGTGCTGGTGACTACACTTACCTGTGTTGTTGAAGTGTAGTGTGCTGGTGACTACACTACCTGTGTTGTTGAGTGTAGTGTGCTGGTGACTACACTACCTGTGTTGTTGTTGAGTGTAGTGTGCTGGTGACTACACTACCTGTGTTGTTGTTGAGTGTAGTGTGCTGGTGACTACACTACCTGTGTTGTTGAGTGTCAGTGTGCTGGTGACTACACTACCTGTGTTGTTGTTGAGTGTAGTGTGCTGGTGACTACACTACCTGTGTTGTTTGAGTGTAGTGTGCTGGTGACTACACTTCCTGTGTTGTTGTTGAGTGTAGTGTGCTGGTGACTACACTACCTGTGTTGTTGGTGAGTGTAGTGTGCTGGTGACTACACTTCCTGTGTTGTTGTTGAGTGTAGTGTAGTGTGCTGGTGACTACACTTCCTGTGTTGTTGAGTGTAGTGTAGTGTGCTGGTGACTACACTACCTGTTGTTGTTGAGTGTAGTGTGCTGGTGACTACACTACCTTGTTGTGAGTGAGTGTCTGGTGTACGTGTGTGTGACGGTAGTGTCTGGTGACTACCTGTGTTGTTGTTGATGTGTGTGCTGGTGACTACACTACCTGTGTTGTTTGAGTGTAGTGTGCTGGTGACTACACTTCCTGTGTTAGTTGTTGGAGTGTAGTTGTAGTGTGCTGGTGACTACACTTCCTGTGTTGTTGAGTGTAGTGTAGTGTGCTGGTGACTACACTACCTGTGTTGTTTTGAGTGTAGTGTGCTGGTGACTACACTTCCTGTGTTGTTTTGAGTGTAGTGTGCTGGTGACTACACTTCCTGTGTTGTTGTTGTAGTGTAGTGTGCTGGTGACTACACTTCCTGTGTTGCTTGAGTGTAGTGTGCTGGTGACTACACTACCTGTGTTGTTTGAGTGTAGTGTGCTGGTGACTACACTTCCTGTGTTGTTGTTGAGTGTAGTGTGCTGGTGACTACACTTCCTGTGTTGTTGTTGAGTGTAGTGTGCTGGTGACTACACTACCTGTTTGTTTCTGGTGTAGTGTGCTGGTGATTACACTTCCTGTGTTGTTGTTGAGTGTAGTGTAGTGTGCTGGTGACTACACTTCCTGTGTTGTTGAGTGTAGTGTATGGGACTACATACTGTTGTTGATGTAGTGTGCTGGTGACTACAATACCTGTGTTGTTGTTGAGTGTAGTGTGCTGGTGACTACACTTCCTGTGTTGTTGTGAGTGTAGTGTGCTGGTGACTACACTTCCTGTGTTGTTGTTGAGTGTAGTGTGCTGGTGACTACACTTCCTGTGTTGTTGTTGAGTGAAGTGTGCTGGTGACTACACTACCTGTGTTGTTGTTGAGTGTAGTGTGCTGGTGACTACACTTCCTGTGTTGCTGTTGAGTGTAGTGTGCTGGTGACTACACTACCTGTGTTGTTGTTGAGTGTATTGTGCTGGTGACTACAACTTCTGTGTTGTGTTAGATGTTGCTGGTGACTACACTACCTTGTTGTTGAGTGAGTGTAGCGCGTGATTGTTACTACTAGTTGACTGCATAGCGGTAAAATAAATTCCTTGTCATATAAAGGTGACACACTTGGTAGTTGCCAGGAGTACTGGCGACTACACTGGAGTATTGTTTGTATGGCTGAGTGGAACCTACACACCTATAGCTGTGAATTAGTGGGTCAATTTGCTACATTCCTGTGCTTCTTGTGTAGTTGCTGGTAAACAGTACCTGTGATTGCTTAAGTGTTGTTGCTGGGTCATCCATATTGTATGTTGAAGTAGTTGCTGTGACTCAAATATATATTTCTAATATTAGTGTGATGGTGCTACACCCGAGTGTTGTTGAGTGTAGTGTGCTGGTGAATCTATTCTGTGGTTGTTTTGAGGTCAGTTTGCTGTGAATACAGCTACTTTTTGTAATCGTATTGCATACTATCACTCCGTGTTTGTTGATGACTGGTGTGACCTCGTGTGTGTTGAAGAGAGTTCTGGTGATCACTTTCACGGTGTGTGAAGTAGTGTGCGAGGTCATACTGGTATATGTCTTGTGTTAGTGTGCATAGTGAGGTGAGCACTTCCTAGTAGTTGTATTTGCAGTGTGAGTGTGAGGTTACACTCCTGTGTGTTGAGTGTTGTGGTGCTGACAGCACGTTCGTGTGTTTAGGGTAATGTGCGGTGTTCACCAACCTGTAGTTAGTAGTTGCAGTATGTCGCTGTATTACCCTTCCTCGTGCTTGTGTGTGTGTGTGGTGTACTTCTGTGTGTGTGAGAGAGTGTGCGTGATACATTGGTGTGAGTGAGTGAGATGAGGTGACTACAAACCTGAGTGTTGATGAGTGTAGAGTGCGGAGATTAAGTGTTGATGAGACTATGTGTCATGTGCTGGTACTCCCTGTGGACTATGAGCAGGAGTGGAGTGACTTCAGCATTATGTTTTGCTGAGTGTAGTTGCTGGTATACACTTCTGTAGTTAGTTAGTGATAAGTGTGGTGACCTACACATACCATGACCATTGTTGAGTGTACATGGCTGGTGACTACACTTCCTGTGTTGTTGTTGAGTGTTGTCTGGTGACTACACTACCTATGTTGTTGGTGAGTGTAGCGTATTGTTTACTACATCACCTGCATAACATGTAAAAATAAATATCTGTCACATAAAAGGTACACATGTAGGTAAGTGGCCAGAGTACTGGGCGAACAACAGAGAGATTGTGGAGTGGAACCCTAGATAAGGCAAGACATATGGGTAAATCTTCTTACACCTGCTACTCTTGTTTACATAGCAGTAAACAGGTACCTCAGTATTACTAGGTTGTTGTGGGTTCCATATTGAGAAAAATATCAACCTCAAATAATAATAATAATAATAATAATAATAATAATAATAATAATAATAATAATAATGAAAATAAAGGGACACCAGAAGCTTTGCTCGTGTTACGTAGATCCACATAGGTAATCTTATATCTTGGTTTCTTAGGCCGTCTTCAGTAATCAGGCTTTTATGTAAATCTATTGCATATTTCTGATCAGCCGGTTTGTGATGACCATGTGGACCTGCGGGCTGCCTGCTTGCAAAAACAGTCTGGTTGATCAGGCTTTCAAAACGGCAAGCTTGTTGCGAGGTCATAGGTATATGGCTTTGTTTGTGCCATAGTTAGGTGAGCACCATAGCTAGTTAGTATCATTGCTAGGTGAGTGTGAGGGTCTCCAGGTGGTGAGTGTGGAGGCTGAAGCAGCGTCAGGGAAGCGAGTAATGAGCGGATAAGTTCCCACTAGCTAATAATTGCCACGTATTGATCACCAGCTAACTCTACCCCAGCCTCCGTGCCTTGTGTGTGTGTGTGTGTGTGTGTGTGTGTGTGGTGTGTGTGAGAGAGAGAGAGAGAGAGAGAGAGAGAGAGGAGAGAGAGAGAGGAAGAGAGAGAGAGGAGAGAGAGATGAGAGGAGAGAGAGAGAGAGAGAGACTGAGACTAATGTGTCATCTCTGGTACTCCCTGCAGACTATGAGCAGGACGTGGAGGACTTCCAGCATTATGTCTTCAGCCCAGACGACTCCGTCAGCCTCTCCATACGTTACTACAACTTCAG